GTGTGTAAACATTAAACATCACTCTAATAACAAGAGCAAAAATAAATAGTAAGAATTAGTCAGTTATTTAAATTACAGCTGCATTTTCTGAGCATCATGTGGAGATCAGCCTCTCGCTGCTGCAGGGAGCAGTTTTTATCACTGCTCTCGTCATATCGCGCTCATATTCCAAAACAAAAGCTGTGCTCTCCTTTCTTCTGTCAATCAATCCCAGAGCTAATCCACAGGATGTCAAAACTGTAAGAGTGCTGTCCTCGCTTCTGCCAGCTTAGAACCACCAACCGGACTAGAGAGGAGGTTCTGAAACAGTGCGGGTGTGTGCGGTCACTGGACCGAGGCTGAACTGAGCTGAAACGCAAAGCTGCTGCCAGCTTACAACCACCGACAGCAAAGCTGCTGCCAGGGTGGAGACTAGTTGTCGCTCCGGTTTAAAACGTTCACAGTTCTGTGTTCCCCCTCGGAAAACTTGTGCGTGACAACTTTGCACTTACGTAGCTGCAACTCTGTTTCTGATGAAAATAGAAAGTTCTGCCGACATTCTTGCTAACTTGTTAGCGCTGCATGTTGTTGTGATCATGTGAGCGCTTCATGCTGGAGCCAAGCGCTGCTGGATAGAAACACTGGAGCGGAGTCAGTGGACTGCTGGAACGCACTGCTAATATCGGAGCACTTATATCGGACATATTTTATGCAGGCCGATAAAATCTGATACTCTTTTTTTTGGCTGGTAGCAACTCCTTTGCATTTGGAAGCGGGGGGTTGGGGGAGGACCAGGGAGGATGATTCAACCACTAGATGTCGCTGAAAACAACAAATCCTACACACTGTGCCTTTAATGCATAATTTAAGTTGGTTTGTAGTTTGTGATCTTCATATTGATATTGTAGTGCTATACAACAGCATTAATTGCCAATTTAGTTTAACCAATTTATATTGTTAGTCTACATTATTACATTTAAAATTATAATTCCAATTCAAACAGAATAGCCTCTTGTCTACATAATTATGGAGTGTGATTTATTTTCAACTCGAAATATCTTCAAACGAACGAAATATAAAGTTATTAGTGAAAAAAAATCAGTCTGGATAACAGCAGACTGACTGCTCGTAAAATATACGACAGATTTGGACCACTCGTAAATTTTGTTTGTATTTGAAGAAAATCTTACAATACGAGAAAATTGGTGAATTCCAGAAGTTCTCCTAAATCACTCATACACACAACTTAAAGGGATCCCTGATTAGTTGTAACATTAGACTTTATATGATAAACATATACTTTAACTGTAAAATAA